TCACCAAATATTTTACCACTTCATAATGGCCATACGAAGATGCCAAATGTAGCGGAGTTTCCTAAAAAAATATGGATCTTTTGTAAACTGTCTCTGGTTTGCCACGAACTAAAAAATATGATTGATTGGTTTATTCATCTATTCAGTTCTTTTTTTGTCATATTTTGGTTACCCTTAACATTTTATTTATTTTTGCATCTCTTTTTACTTCTTTACTTTTTTGCATTTATTTTTTGTTCATTCCACTGTATAAATTACCATTTACAGTTTCTTTCTGTATGAGATATTGATAATAAAATAAAAAGAAAATCTTTTGTTGTTAACTATAAGACAGTGGTGGAGAAGCTTATTTGGCTGAAATCATTAACCAACACAATTGTTAAACGTAGGCCAAACACGTTCTACAAAGATATGATTAAAAATAACAATTTCAGACTAATATAAAAAAAAGTGATACAAAAAATAATTTAAAGCAAAAGATGAGAATACAGTTTGTAAATTTTAGACAATTTTTTCTGTTTTCAAAATAAGGAGAAAAAAATTTACCTTTCTTTCATCAATTGCATGCAGATTGGCACCTTTTTTCATTAAATATTCCACAATTTCTTTGTGTCCGCACAGAGATGCAGTATGCAGCAAAGTTTGCTAAACTCAGCAATACTGTTCAAGTTTTGTAATTTTTTGTGCTATTACACTGTAAATTAATTAGGGAACTTTTTTAATTCAACTGTATTAATGTTTCTATAAAAAACATAACATAATTGGTATTCAAAATTGATGTATGAATAAACTTTATAAACTGTTAAATTTTACAAAAACAAAAAATAATTTATTTGACAAACAAATTTTACCAAATCGGTACATTGTGCATTAATGTCGACGCCATTTCTTAGCAAACTCTTAACTTTATTAAGCGAGCCTTTAATGCATGCTTCAAACAACGGCTCTAATGAATCCTAAAAAAAAGAGATTGAAAAATAGTTTCAAAGAAAATTATTTAGTTCTCACTGTTTTAAACAACCAATTTTAAATTTCATCTATTCTTCCATGTCTACAATTATTTTTTTCTTTTTTGGGGTAAAACATACGGTTACTAGAAACTTTTGCAAAAATTAGTAAAACAAAAAAGAAAGTCGTCAACTTTAAACATAGTCTGAGCATTTTGTGCATTTACGTAATGAATCATAAAACTTTGGAAATCAAAAACTATATCGTTTTCAAGCAACAGTTTTTAAAATATTCTTTCATTTTTTTTTTCGTATGATTCGTTGTTTACAGTTCGAAACTAAACAAACTATTGTTGGACTTTGAATTTGCAACCTAAAAAACAGCAATTTTTTTTGCATAAAGAAATTTTGATCAGTAATTTTTTTTTTTGCTGCTATCATTCAGCATTTATTTCTTATGAAATTTTTTGTCAACATCAGGGCCCTGATACCAAAACATTCTGTTTGTTAACAAGGTTAAATATGGTTTTATTGCTAAAACTTTAAGCTATCTTTATAATTTAAAACAAATGTGTAGAGGATTTTTTTTAGCAAAAAGTCTACCAAAGTCTGGATACAATAAATATACAGTCACATTTTTCTAATTATTTTTTACCGCATAGGTTTTGCTTTTGGTTTTTTTTTAAACAACAGCAGCGCAGAGTAATAGAACAAAGCAGTATCTTGGTAAAGAATTCCAAAGTCTGACTAAAACTTTAGTGATTTTTTGATGTACGTGGAAAATAAATCAGACCATAAGATGATGAGTAGAAATTTTACATCAGTTGTGACCCAAATTAAAAAATTTAAGTAAGGAAAGCGTAAAAAATGCTTTTGATAGCTTTCACCAGAAAATTTGGAAAATTGGTATTATAAAGTGACATCATATTATAGCGATAAATAATAGTTTTTGTAGTTTCATACCACTTCTTTTCTTACTTTTCAGAACTTCACCAGTCTTAAAAGAGAAGTGAATTAATATGGTGCTAGACGTTACGTCTAGCACCATATTAATTCAACTAACAATAGTGGTTTTTCTCTTCTTCTCGTGACCATCTACTCATTAATTTATAAAATTAAGTTTGAACAATTAAATTTGATAATGGTCAGGCATTTTAATTGCTATTACTACTCTTCTTCCACTTTTTTTGCGGTTACTGCTGATGCATTATTAGCATCAATGAAGATACTTGAAAAACAGAAGGCAAATAAAATTAAGACAAGAACAGTAGAAACTATAACTTATAGATACTAACCGTTGATTTTTCAGTCATTTTTCATTGTACTATCGACGACGCTTGTTTCGCAGATCAATACAGTTTGTAAATGGTCTTTTTAAGCAGCTTAAAAAATTGCTTAACGTTGTAAACTTCAATCTGCAAGTAACTGTCAACTTCAGAACAGTTTATGTCAAAAAAAAGACAAAAAGAAACACTATTCTTTCTTTTAAAGCCAACAAAACTGTTCTACATTCTAATCGTAACTCGTTATTTCTACATATCGAGAATCGTTATTTCTACATATCGAGAATTTTATCTAACTGATCAAAATGAAACAGGGTCATCAAAAAATCAAAGTCTTTTGAACAATCTTTCAAATTTAAAAAATAACAAGATACAAGTAATAATAACAAAAAGATAATTTTTAAGCAATAATGTTTTTGTTATTAATATTTGTGAATGAATAAACTGCCAAAAGCAAATAAATGTTGAAGAACAAAGTTATATGACAGCGTATTACAATGTCAGCTAAAAATACAAAAGGTTTATTTTTGTCTCATCAAAGCGATAAGTTTCAAGTTTTATGTTTATCTATCGTACTTTCTATCAGTTATATTAGCATTTTATTCACCAGAAAACTGCTTCTCAATGGTTTTTTTAATTTGTAACAGTTTTCTTGGCATCTGAATAGCCCCATTGAAAATGAAAGCAAAGTTATTGGTGAAAGATAAAAAAAAAAACAATTTTTTTTGATTGGCTGCTAATTTTCAGTGAGAAAATGGCTTTATTTAAGAATTTCAAGAAATTTTTCAGTACTGAAAGCTAAAAAAGCTGAAGGTTACAAAAGCAATCAGTCTGATCGCAGCAGTTGTAAACGCAGACTCTATAGGTTTAATAAAACTGTTTGTTTTAGGAGAGATAAATAAAAAAAAGAAAATAAAAACTAGCATAAAGAAATTTTTTTCTTAACTTATTTTAACATGGTAGTTCGCTTTTCAAAAAACAGCTTATCAATTTTTGAGGAAATTAAATGAAGAAAAACATACAAAAGTTGTCAAGAAGTATATTCAAAAACCTTTGATAGAAAAATTAGGGAGGTAAACCGAATCAATTAATAATGGTAAAGCTGCTGTAAGTAATTAGCAGCAGTAAAAGTCGAGAGCAGTAATTGTAAAAATAAAAATTACTGGTAAACAGTTTAAAAAACTTTATAATATACAAAAAAAAAGTCGGGCGCCATAATAATTTTAAAAGCAACATTCTTCCTAAATGATAGCTTTTGAAATAAAATTCTTCTTCTTTTCACTTTTGTCTCAAAATTTTCATTTAAAATGACCAAAAAACTTCATCATTCTAACACAGCATACCACTCTTATCACTGTTGATTCTACCAGTGAAAAAACACATTTCAAAGTGTCCTATAAACGTTTCAACCAATTTTAGTATCAATTATTGCTTCACTATTGGAACAGCATAATTGTCATCAATGCTGTAAAGTTAATAATGAATAAACAACTACAAACATATGCCAACATTTTAGGGCTATATAATTTCAAATCAAAGATTTATTTTTGACGTCTAGTTCAAAGCAGCACTATCAAGGCGAACAGTTTTAAATTCTGTATTACAACAACAGAAGTCGAGTAAAACTTAAATTAAAAAACGACATGAAAAACCGTAGCTCAATTGACAGTTTTTGCTCAATTTGCAAAATTCAGATTTGTTTCTTTACTTGCAGTAGAACTTGTTCTATTTGGTATATACATTAGCAAAGCTTGATTTTCCTATATTTATATCAATAGTTGTTGCTTTTTGCTATATACTGTACAAATTTAGGTAAACAGGACAACAGATTATGTTTTGTAGAACCTTCAAACATTCTTCATCATTCGGTGAAAATCCAACTCAAATTTATAAGATTTTCTTCATGGTTCAGAACTTTCAGAATTCTATCAGAATTCTTCATGGTCGTGTGATTACTTTAACAGCTCGACACCGGCATTTACTAATTCACAACAAAAGCGTCGTCCTTAGACACTCCTCTTAATAAATTTCTTTTGATTCCAGATGTTCTCAAAATAACGTTTTCATTGAAAGCATTAAGCCACTTGTTTTTGAGCTGTTGTAGAAAGTGTGTTCCTACGTTGGAGACTACTAATCAAAAAACCTTCTGTGTCCTCACATGTAATTTATCTCTGTGAAGAATTTCTAGAAGGATGTACATTCCAGTTTCATATAGCGTAATCCAATCTTTCAGCCACTTTTCCAAATTTAATGGTTTCTTCGACATTCCTTCAACCCAACGAAACTTTTAAACCCAAACAATAGTACTCTTTAAGATATTATTCTATGATACAGTTACACAATCAAATATCAGAAACTTTATTCATTAAGGCTTAACGCATAAATATTCTCCAGCTTCGATACGCCTTGATACTAGCAAAAAAAGCCTCAGACATTAACTCAGTCTTTTTCATATCCCAGCAGAATATCTCACTCAAAACTGACAAATTTCAATCGTAATCATACCGGTTCCGCTTGTGATTCAAAAGTAAAACAAAAAACTTTTTAATTACCAAAAAATCCTACTCTTTAAATTGACAGATTGCTCCATGCGACCAATCTGTAAACAACAGGTGTAAACCAAACAAGAAAGAACGCTTACAAAACAGGAATGTCATGCAATTTTACTAGACAATATTTTAATCATAATGACAGAGAAGTCCTTATTTATACAAATATGAACCATCAGCAGTACCATAAACAAAGCAGAAAACGTTATTGGCTTTGCGCACTAATCTTCATGTTTTTCCCTCGCAATTCGCGGACGTTTAGTTACGTAAATAAATCGCCGTTGGGTTGATGGTGCAGTTGTCTCTACAAAAAATTGTAATGCGTTTTTAACTGTCTCATAGCCGTATTTTTGCCTCTGACCAGTACCTTAAATATTTCAATGAGAGTGTAAAATACCTTCTTCCCAGCTATATTGTTCTGTCACTAAAGTGGTGTCGCTGTATTGTGAAGTTTCCACATCTTTTTCAAGCTTTGTGAGCTGGTTATTGTCGCTTTCAGTGACAATTTTCGCTGCCTCATTTCCACCATCAAAGTCGACCTTAGATTTTCCGTAACCATTTTTTTCTACTCGTGTTTTACTTAAACTTGAGACAGTTTTAAGATGTTGTCTTCCAGAATAGCTTTCTAAAAAGTTAAACTCTTATACAGCTTAACAGCTAAATTTCTCGAGTAAAGCAAACTCAATTTTTTTTGACAAAGCGTGACAACACTTAATTATTGGCCACAAACTAACCGTGTTGCTTGGATGTTTTTGTGAAAGCTGGCTTAGAGGAATCTGGATGTTTGATAGTAAATTCGCTGTTTGTGGTTTCGCCAATTTGTTTGCTACTAGAGCTTTCCAGTCCACCGCTGCTGAAGTTTCTGTCCGCACCGTACACTTTTTCATTCGTTGGCGATGACAAATCTACGAGGGGATATGTTTGGTCAGATGATTTCTTTTCGCTACCGTAAGCAAACGCCTGAAATTTCTAACCCGTCGCTTCGTAAACAACGTTTCAGTAATGCCGAATTCCATATACTAATTTGTTGTACGCAAGATCTGTTAAACTCAGCTTCAAGTCGTCTTTAATTTTACTCACTATTTTCGTCGATTTTTTGAAAACTAAGCATTACCTGACTAAGATCTTCCCTCTCTATTTGCTGCTTCACATTTATTATCCGTTTTACAGTTTCATCTTCATCGACCGGCCGAATGAATCTTCCTTCGTCTGGAAGATCAATGTTCTCTGCACTTCCCTGAAATTCAGCGGCATTTTAATTGATGTTCTGAAGCAGTACTCAATTCTTGCATGATTAATGCCTGTTGTTTCAAGCTGAATGTAATTTCTTGTTTTTGTAGATTTTTTGGAGCTCTGACTTACAAAAATATGTTTCTAAACTTTTGATGCTTTAAAAACGAGTTAAAAAATTTTACCGGAGATGATTCGTAGACGCTTTTTGTGAGGTCACTTTCATGCAGCAACTTGATTGTTTGTTTTGGCTGTGTGGTTACACCTGCAAAATTGCCTCCTTCTAAACTTTTACTTGTCACCTTCTCGCTTTCATGATCCTTGTCCGGAAAGGTTAGAAGATCTTTGTGACGGCTTTCGGCAATGGGTATTGCAATTTTTTCGCTCTGAAAACTGATCTACAACTCCTTTTCATTCGTGCTTTGACCAATGCTGTTTAGAAATCTAATGCTGACGTAATTTCTGCTCACGGTCTGACACCAGAATCATTACTGAGTCGAAGATGTTTAACAAACTCTGAATTATCGCCTACTTTTACTACGTTTAATTGACATAAAACTGTATCAAAGTATCAGCTACTGCAGAAATATTTTATGTTGTAACAATTTTACCACTTCTTTCTCATTTCCAATGTTTTTAAGTTCAGCTGGGCACGGACAAAATTTAACGTCTGCACCAGGCTCTCCAGGAAGGCCCTTCTCACCGCGAATTCCCGGACTTCCTGGAATACCATCCAGACCATTTACACCAGGTAATCCGTCAGATCCCGGAGCTCCATAAACATAATTTTTCTTTCCTGCAACAGTTACGCAAATTTTATATATTACACAGTTCTGTAACTGCATTTACAGCTTTTTATTCGTCGTACATGCTCTGTTTGATTCTAAAAATATCACCTCTTGGACCTTGTTGACCTGCTCCTCCAATAGGTCCAGGCGCCCCCGGAGGTCCGGGCTCTCCAACACCACCGACAGCAGGTATTCCGTCGGATCCCTTTTTTCCAGGTCTTCCAGCTGTACCGTTAAAACCCACAGGTCCTTCTGGTCCGGCTTCACCTAAAATTCTCTGCTATTTCAAAATTGACTCCAATCCTTTTTGTTGCTCTTTAAAATCTCATCAGAAGTAACCAAACAGCAGTAATAAAATTAAGTGTTTCTGACTATTTTTTTAAGGTTGCAATCAAATAACAATCAGAAGAAGCTTTGCTGCAGTAGATTTTTGCACGTTTGTTTTATTTAAAATGAGACCTTCATGACCATCAAGTCCAGAGGCACCCGGAATCCCTTTTTCCCCTCGTAATCCAGGCGCACCCTTGGTTCCAGGTGCGCCAGGAAGTCCAGCCGGTCCAGCTGGACAAATAACACATTTTTCTTGCGTGGTCAACATCATTTGGTGAGCGTCCATACCTGGTGGACCATCTGGCCCATCATCACCTTGTTCGCCGTCTTCTCCGTCGTATCCTTAAAAGCACTTAAGATTCCCACCAAAAACTTTTTGTAGATGATTTCTAGGCTTTTGTAGATTTGATCTACGTGGTGTAACTGCATACATCTAATTTCTAAAGATAAAGCAGCCTTAATAGCTAAGGTATTGAAATTTTCCGTCCACTTTTTTCTGCTTTTGAAGTTTTCATAATTTACCTGGATCTCCAGGAGGTCCAGGCTCTGTGTTGCAGGCAGCTGCTTCTCTTTTCATCCTATCATTCGTTCCCCTCAGGAGATATAATTGCATTTCTGCTGTGTCGGATAATGCCTACAACTTACAGTCAAAATCCTCGGTATCTCAAGACCACTACTGCTTATATAAATTAAAAAAAAATCATTATTAGCCCAACTCCGCAGTTATCTCAGTTCCGCCGCGTGTGAACTCTATTTTAAAAGACGGAAAAAAATTCCCACTAATCATGTAATTTCTCCTCAAATCTATCAAATTTTCAGTGCCGTCTGTTGCGTTTACCTTATATCATATTTTATTTTACTTAGCGGGACTGGATTGTAAAACTGAAAATTTGAAGACTCGGGAATTTGAAAAGAGAGGAACTTCTTGTGTTTTAGAGAAATCTAAACAGAAAACTGCCTAGTTGAAATATTATATGTTTTTATCTTCTTTCTTTTACAACTTTACTAAATGCTTCCCGTTTTCTACAACTTTTCTCCATTAACTCTATTGTCTTAAGTTTTTTATTAAAACTGGTTATCTTACCTGTAGTTTTTGCAACCTTTCGTTCACCGTAAACCTCTTTAGATCGACTTCTTTCATAAGAAATGGCAAGATGAGCAGTTGAGCAATTATACTGATTGCACTTAACAGGAATACCGTTGCTGCACTTTTTTCGTAGAATGCCATCGCCTGAACTGAACGTGAAGGTATTTTACCGAACTGTCTATAACTTCGGCGAAAAAATACAGATTTGGATTATTAAGGGACATAACTTTCTGTGGAAGTTTTTTTTGTTTTCCATTGGTCAACTGATGTGCAAAGATTTATCTTTTAACGCTACTGGCTTGATAAAGAAATTTCTTGTTAAAAAAAAGACAATTAGGAAAATTTAATTTTACAATTACATAAGGTTTAGGAACGTGATTGACGATTTGTAGATGTTTGTCCTAGATAAAAGAGCAGTTAATGCAGCAATACTGTAACAATTAATTTACAACGTAATGCAAATTTACAGATTTATATTCCCTTGTCGTCTGGAGCTCCTAGATTTCAATATTCTTTTGGGACTTCTAATCACCTATGTTTATTTACAATTTAATGCATGAAATCTGAAGTTATTGTATAAATATAAGAACCTTTTTACATACGTCTCAAAGGTCTAATTTTCTTCCTCATCTATGTTGAAGAAATTTCCCTAGAATTTATTAATCTTTTCAAACAACCAATCTTGATTCATAATAACTTAAAACTTTAAATCTGTTTGAATTTCGGTAAAAAAGTTTGAAAAAAAATTTTTGTTTTCATTCTTTCAATTCCATGCATTTTTCATTTGAACGAAACTCATCGCTTATTTCTGTTAAGGTAAAACCTCTTTTCGCACAGAAGATTTGACAACAAAACAAAGAAAAAGACTACAAAATTAGTAAGATTCGAGCACCTCCTCAACCATGCTTAGCAGCATACAAAAGTATTTAGCTAGAAAAAGAGGAAAACAAGAAATCAATGGAAAAATCATACATATTACTTGATTGAATCAGAAACTGTTAAACGTATAAAATAGAACGCATATAAAATTTTGTAGGAACAGTGAGCAAAAAGTTGACTGATAACAATGAAACTGGTCGTAAGATTTATGCGTGCTTGAGCTGCCCCAGTTAAAAATATTTGGCGATTAATTTTTGGCTTTAAATAAGGGCAATATAATTAACCCTGATTTCGACAACATCTGAATAGCGGTCAAATTTCGCATTAAAAAAACGATCTTTCATCCTACGTACTTCTTTTCTGAAACAATCACCACTTATTCACTGACCAAATTTAATGACTCCCAATACGCGTAAACCATTACGTAGAAACCTTCAATAATTGCCAAGTCCTGTTTCTCACCAAAATTAGCCACAAGTGATTCCGTAGACTTAATCGGTAAACGGAAAAACACTATTCAGGATGAAAAAACTAACAAAGATATAACCGTGCAATCGCCATTAGCCACTACCGCGCCCAAAGAAGGCATCGCAAATCCCGATGTCGCCACTCTCATCTCAAACTAAGGCGAACAACTGTTGTACGATGCGAGAGACAGATTGACCAGACATCTTACTGTACCCCTTACCCAACTCATGAGTTCTTCGAACACAAGAGCGGGCTTCTCAGACATCCACTGAATTAGTCAATTAATGTAAATGAAGCGTACCAAACATCTCAAACATTTATCCAGATTAACACAGCAAAAGAAAAAAAAAGAAGCAAACAAAACAAGAACAAGAAAAATAACTCTCACAACAGTCTATGATGTAATGCAAACAAAATTGGCAATCTTTTTTAGGTTGTAAAAATATGCATTAGTTCAAAGTGAAAACAAAAACTTATGCGATCATTCTTTTTTCTTTTGTACAATCCTGGCAGAAATGCCACATCAGAACAACATAAAAAATTTTAAAAAATCAACAACAAGAACCCAAGATAAAAAAAAAAAAAAAAAAAAAAAAAAAAAAAAAGAAGTTT